GCGCCATCCGAGAGAGGGAAACCTAAAAAGTCTGATGCGTCTTTGAGTAAGTAAATCAATGATTCGAAAGCATGTTCAATTTGTACAAAGTACCTTAAGGGAATATCGTAAAACCACTTGATTGCTTGGGTTCGTAAACTCTACAATCATGATCATCGCATGAAAATTGTATACACCTAATTGCAAAGAAARAGAACTTTTGCTGTTTGGTAATTAATTGAAATACTAAAGAAAAGAAATTATTTAGCTTCAGTGGTCATGTTTTGTTTTTTGTATTGAATGTATTGCTAATCTCCTAAATAGTAAATCTCAAGTCAACGTTTTTGTAGTTTTGTAAATTCCACTTGCAAAATGGCACCATCGATATTTGTTTATTAAACTAGTTTGCTATTTCCGATCTATGAGTTATCACATACATAACTCGGCCTAAATAGGGKGATGACTAGTCTCCCAATTCTCACCAATTATCCTAATAATTCGAGTTGTATGAGCTAAACAGGCTTCAGACTGCTTCAGATGACATTGGGTTCTCAGTATGATTAATAAATTAGAAGAAAAACTATTAAGCTTTCCAATTTTATAACGCAGCAATTGTGAAACAATTACTACTAGTCAGTGTTTACTTTTAAAATAGTAACTATTAGGGTGTAGTGGGCTACCAAAAGGCAAAATCAAAACCATGTTTGCCTAATTCAGTTGTTGCATATCATAAGTTAAACTATTGGAAGCTAATAGGGGGTAATAGTATTCAATAGTACAATTCCTATATTTCACAGACCGATAAAATTGAATAACGGGCGGGCAGTTTAATAGCAACAATGCATTTTGGTCTTGCAATGCAGTGGGAGTATCACAGTATTCTGTATTCAACGTTTTTTGAAGTAGYCGTTGTACGCACATGCAAACGTTTTTAATAGTTTTTTAGGAAAGACAATAATCACACATTGTAAATGCTTATCATATTTTACCTTTTTCATTACAGCATTCGATTTCGAAAAAAAGGGTAATCGTCTTCAAACATACTTTAGTGCTGAAAATTCAGAGAGGTCTCTCTCACAGAGTTTTTACAAAAATGGTGACAATTCTCTTCTCTGGAAATGGAAAGATATCAYAAATGGTGCAGAAAAACCCAAGCTAACATTAGACCTATTCCTCCTCCAAAGAAACCAAGACGAAGTAAAAAGTGGAGGGATAAAATTTTGGATTTATAAAGAAAGCAAGTCTCCAAATTCTAAAATGCAGATCGTCTTTCACGGTCCAAGTAAGGACGCGACAGTTAAGGGTTCTATAACAAGTAAGCCAACTGATGTCAACCTAGACTTCAAGGGATGGCGAGGTATCTGGATAGCATACCGCGAATTCAATGCCAACGATTTCCATCTGAAGAAACTCAAGAAGATTGAGTTTATAATTCAATCCACGAAGGCTGATAAACTTTACTTTGACCTGATCCAATTTTCTAAGAGTATTGGTTATGCCAGTCGAGATCTTGTGGTGAGTAAAGTTGGACAAAGTGATCCAGGGAAAGACGATGCCCCTTTTCACGATGATAAAGACTTCTGGCAACAGACTCTCCGCTGGAATCAATATCAATTTTCWAAATATACTGAGACACTTGAAAATGTCAATGATAAGCTAGAAGATATTAAAACAATCGAAAATCGAATTGAAAACTGGTACGCAAAAGAAGATGAGTCAATCATTCGCCTCGCAGATAGGGATTCATCAATAAGCAGCAGMAGTGGAATAGATGATGGYTTTAATCTTAACAAGATGAAGGTTAAGCGATGGAAAAGCCTCCAGACAGCAATACAACAGGCACRTGTACTATACCAAAAGATAGATTTTCAAAAACGCCGGCCGTCCCTATTTCCCAAAAGATCAGACTACGGAAAGGAAGAGATAAAAGTCGATTCTAATTCAATGACTAAGTTTGGTTATATTTTTGCAAAAATTCTTTTGCCACTATCACTTGAATGTGCTTTAAAGAGCAGGAAGGTTGAGGTAGAGTATCTAGCAAAAAAAGTTTGCAATGACCTTTCTTCGGGGACAGATGGAGAAGCATTCAATAAAGGTATTCAGGATGTTGCTGGAGAGAGCAAAAATATGATAGAAAAGTTCAAGGAAATAGTAAAAACTTTCAAAAATAARAAHACAATTGAATGTCCACCRGAAGATTYCMSAGCTTTGGATATTGAAAAACTTATTCAACAATTTTATGACTACCTCTATCAAAGAATCAAGATATTACTGGAGTACCTCCAAGATCAAGGAATTGGTGCAGGTAGTTCTCTTGGTTCACTCGACCATGAAATGAACAAAATCGGTTCAGGATTTGTACACTCCGTTTTCTTGTTAAGAAATCGCTTAAGAGAAGATCCAATGTTCGACARCCTGGTAGATGCCATGAAATGGTATTCTGACTTTAACGAGATMTATCAGCCTGATGATGATTTTGTATACGATGGAACAACAACAGATCGAATGAGAACAATCCTCCTGTACAGACTACAGATCATACTAATGAAAAAAAAGAAAGGTCAAGATGAAATTCACGATTTGAATCATTTGAAGAAATGGGCAAAGCATGCATTAAAAATCAACAAAGGTTTCGGAGGTGTGATTAAACCAGATTTTACTGGATTTCACCACAAGACTTTCTATGGCTCAGCGTACGTCCCCCAAGCATATCACAACGCCGCACTCGTTCAGTACTTTCTCGATGGAACTTCGTTTGAATTCGATGCCAATTCTAAAGCCAATCTTCGAAAAGCTTTAAGCGTTTTACGTATGGTGTCAGTTAAGTTCTCAAYGCCAAACGGTGTCTGTGGACGGTTCCCTGGCTATGATCGTGCTATATTAGCCAGAATTCTTCCCGCTTACGCTTACATCAGCTACGTCCACCCAAAAGATGGAGCCCCAGAAGGTGTCTATAAACCAGAGATATTTCTACGCCTATTCGATCTAAAAAATCCTTCTGTTATAGAGTACTTGGAAAGAGGTGCTCCCAGATCACACATATACTATTGGAATACTATTGGTTGTCTTGATTTACTTAAAAAGATCTCCACATTAAAGTGTGAAAAYAACAAAGTATGTACAGCTGAGAAAGCACCGTCAGGACACTGGAGTAAGAACTTTGCAAGCCTTTCCATTCATCGACGTAAAGACTGGGCTGTAGCCGTCAAAGGATTCGGAAAATACRATTGGGATTTCGAGGGTACTACCGTAGCTAATGCGTAYGGTGTTTTCCAAAGTCAYGGCTCACTTCAAATATCAAATAGCRAAGAGTCACTGAAATCCTACGACGTCCAAAATGGTTGGGACTGGACGAAAGTTCCAGGGTCAACAACAGTAGCATCAGACGACTTTGACCAAATAAGAGTCAAGGCAAGAAACTACAACTTCCAAGGATTCGCTGGAGGAGTGAGCTTTTTTGGATCCCGAGGAGTCAAGATCCCACAACAAGGAGCATTTGGGATGTTATTTAAGAAGCCAGAGTACAAAATTCCTAAAGAAGTCACAAACTCTCCTTTGCTAAATCTTCTGGAGTTCAGAAAGTCATTCTTTTTCTACAACCACCTTATTGTGTGCCTTGGTAGCAATATTCAATTCGAGCAGACCACCGTTGATGGTATTTACCCACAGACAACTCTTTTTCAAGACAAAAAATTAAATGGAAATTCAAAGATATCTATCGGCAAGAWGCAAAAAGTCTTAGGYGARAAATACGAAAAAAGCTGGAGTSAGGAAAAAGATCCAGTCGTCTTAGAAGACTCGAAGGGAAACACTTACCAGATCAAACTTATCGATCACAGCACACTCAAAGTCAAAATATCTAAACAAAAATCTCGAAAATCCAACGGTGCTGACGAGTCTTCGGCTTGGTATGGCACTGCTTGGATTGACCACACAAAGGAAAGTACTACGTCTAAAAGAAATGAAATACTAAGAAATAATTTTGAGGCGGAATCATCTTTTGTGGATCATTCCATCTCATCTGAAAGTATTGGAGATTTCGCTGGTGACACGAACAACTTTAATCCAAACGAAACTGAT